TGAGGGCGTAGTCGAAAGCGAGGACGGACCGTTCCTAGTATACTATGTATATAGGTCTTTTCAGAGACCCAGTGACGCTCCACTGATGCGGGGTCGTTGTGAGAGTCACTACCGAAGCTGAAACCATGCAGTGAAATCCTTCATGATTGAGCCCTTTTGAAGAACACATACGCGTGATCAACGTGTCAAAACGCGCGTGACTAAGGCTTGTTAGCCAGATCGAAAAGGAGAAGGCCAATGTCAAGCCCCCGCGTCTTGGATTCGACTATGATTGTGTGCAATGTCAGTGATGTGTGAAAAAAAACAAAACTAACCAATGCATCTATGAGGTGCGTGCAGCTGGTGACATTGGATGCTGAGTACAAGCATCTTGTTTGCACCCCTCATCAAAAGAGTGTAGCCTTTTTTGTTCTATAGCGAAAAAGTCTTGTGTTGATATCTCCCCGCTGCACATCCAAGGCAGCTCAAGAAAGATGTCGCCAAGGGGAACAAGGCTCCCAAGGGTAAGGGTGGACGTGCCAAAGGGCATGCGCCCTCTCATCCAAAAGGATCTAAGGCTGTTCCAAAATCAAAGGCGGGCAAGGCCAAAAAGGCCAAAAAGAACGGCAAAGCCGCCGCCCCAAAGACTGAAGAGTCTAAGCCAACTGAGCCTGCACCCAAGCGGCCCCGGAAGGGAAAGGGCAGTGCCTGAGCGGTGCATTCCGGCATGCATGGCTGTATATAGTTGGATGGGTGGTGCGGGCTTTCCTGCACACTGGGGCTCTTTTGTTTGAACGTGTGATCGGGAATCAACTGATTTGAACACAGGATAGTCATTTCCTGCTTTGATGGGCCATCTGCGCCCACAGGTTTGCATGTGTGCTCACATGTGGTGGGAGGATCAAAGCAAGGTGAAAATGGAGCCTCTGGACATGTACAAACATCTTGAAACGCAAGTGCGCTAACAGTGGATGATGATGATGGTTCCTTCTCCCTTAACCCTGCCCCAGTGCATTCATTACGGTTGCACCCTTTGCACATTGTGCCAGGTCCGTCCAGGAGGGCGCGACACCTGGCCTGGCGATATGGCCGTGGAGATTCTTGGCAGCTTATGGCTGGATCCACCGGTCGAGCGCGAGCTGATCACACAAACATGTTGTTGTTTGTTGCGTTGTTGCTTAATTGTATATATAAAAATGAAGGGTGCAGCTCGAGTCAATGACAAACAAATTGCTTGATGGACTAGTTTTTCAGTGTAAAAGTCTTTGTATACCCTTTGCATGCATTCATGCATGGCATCCAGTCATGCATCTTAATGAACATGATGTCTCGTAGACTCCAAGGAACCTTGCGTTGAGATCGTTCGATCTGCGAAAGCGGATATGTGTGATCGCCTTGCTGAAGAACGAGCAGGTGACGAGGGAAGCAGCGTATCATCATTCTGTCCAGTCATCAAAGCTCTGCACAAAGTGTCGGAGAGAAATGCGGCGTCTTTGTTGGCGTTTGATAACAAACCCTTTTCTGTATAAAAAGCATCCCATGTTCATTTCAGGAGTTGCAACAATTATAAGAGTTGGGTGTATTTTAGTGTATGGTTTCAACAGTGCAGCGAACGATTGCGCTTCTATATAAGGAAGAGGGTGTATGCAAAATCTTCCGGCAATATGGCCTGGTCTACCCTGATGAATTGAGCTTTGACACTGTGGGTGACTATGTCAGCTTTCCGTGGATCAGGCCCTCAGTTCTCATCAAGAGTATGTGCAGCACCAGTGATATCTCCTTGTTACTCGGCGGCGCCCCAACTTTTGGTGAAGCAAAGCAGGCCTTACAATTGTTTTGGTCGAGATTTCAATCAATATATCCAAACCATGGGGTCTTCAGAAGGATCCAGGAGTCACGGGGTGCTATCAGTACATCGCATCTTCTGCCCATCCTGGTCCACGGTGATGAGGGCACAACATACAAGCGCAACGGGATGCTTGTACTACAGTTTTCAGGTGCATTGGGGCAGGGCACGCGAAAATCTGCAACTCCGAACGAGTGGTACAAGGACCTAGCATCATATGGGATCCCCATGAACCTGGTGAGAACAGCTCTTCAGACAAGGCTGTTGACACTGCTTTGCCCAAAGGACGGTGTTGGGATGCATTGGTTTTTCCATTGTGTTGGGCCGGGGCGGAATCAGATCAGCGGAATCTGAATTGCATGTCTTTGTATCTTTCATGTTCGGGTCAACGACGCCCTTGGATGACATGTGATGTCGACCTGGCAGGACATGTACTCCGATGATCCGTCAGTCTTCAGCCGCCTCATCAGCCTGGTGGTGGATGATTGGAAGCAGCTAGAGGACAAAGGCTTTGAAGCCCCTGGCTATGGAACGGTGTATCCTATTGTCATAGCCAACAAAGGCGACTGGTCATACCTTGTTTCCTGGTTCAAGACTGGTGTTTTGAGATTTTTTTGAGGCATGCAGGGTCAGAGTTCTTTTAGCCAGGGTGCTATGTGCTTCTCATTGTTTGGAACCTGTTTATGGCGAGGTTTCTTCAGCAAATCTGGAACGGTCTTACCGGCGAGCGCCAAAAGCAAAAGTTCAAGCCAAGAAGTACATGCACAACCCCCCGGGGATATGCCATTTGTGCATGGGGGGGACAAGAGAAGGAGACTGGGAGGATGTGACTCTTAGATTGTTTTGCTTGATGATTTTTCTTTATTTTTATGGCTGTGTGCGCTTTAGATGGGTTTCGCTGATCATCCATGCGTGTGTCTGTGAGGAACACGGCCCAAAGATTGATCCGGACGGCGAGGCTTCATGGGACCCCACCACCTTGGTCGGTGGAACCTCATTGGTCACGACTCCTGCACGATGAGGCTCCTGGAGGCCAGCAACGCTTCCATAGGCCTGATGTCTGGCACACCATCCACATGGGTGTGGGGAAAGCATGGGTGGCCTCTTCGATGAAACACCTCCAATATGTCACAGGTGGATCGTCGGTCGACAAGAGGGTCCAGATTCTCAGCGACGATTACATCGAGTACTGCGAGCAGAACCGGAAGATCAAGTATCTCAAATCCCTAGAGCCTCACACGTTCGGCCTCAAGGCCAGTGAGCCTTCTGCAAGCTGGAACAAGGCCCACCTGACGGCTACCCTTCTTCAGTGGTTGCAGGACTACATGGAACGGCACAAATGCATCATTGATGCCGATGAGGATCTCCGCACCATTGTTTCTTTGTCATGTTTCAAGCGTTTTGATTTGTATGACCCCGTGGTTAAACCAACCTTTGTTTGAGCAGTTTGGGTAGGTCAGTTTTCAGAATGCTGAGGCTTCAGGAACAGCTGCCGTCAACTTCTTTGTGAGTTCTTTGTTCAGCGAGGGCATATGGGTGCCAAAGTGCAGGGCAGAAGCAATCATCAGAGCTGGCAACCATTTCATCAGGGCTTACCAGTACATGGCGTACCGAGCGCTACAGAGTGGCAAGCCTGCGTTCCCTCTTTACCCGAAGAACCATATGGTTCAAGAGTTGGTCGAGGAGATGACATACCAATGCAACGTCTCAGACTTTTGCTGGAACATCTTAGCAGATGCGTGCTTCCAAGAAGAAGACATGGTGGGTCGAGTTAGCTACCTAACTCGTTGTGTGTCGCCACGGCAGCAGGCTCTTCGAGCGCTGCAGCGCTACCTTGCACAGGTCAAGGTTTGCTGGAGCGTGCAAGGATAGATCGGCAAATCACTGTGGGGGAGAGCAGTTGGAAACAGTGCGATGGATGTGGCAGGGGAAGGGTAGGGCAAGTGGGAAATTAAACCCCTCATGTCCAATCTGTTTGACCTGTTTGTATTGTGATGAATTTGTTTGAATGATGCTTGTTTGGAGTGAGTTGAAGAGACTTCCCGAATTTGAATGGGCGCCGCCACCAAATACGATTTTCTGCGATAATACGATTATTTCCGTTCAGAAGCGAAACTTCCACCAAATCACACAATAATAACGTTTTCTGGACATAAGTTGAAACTTCAACTTAGTCATGGTTCCAGGTATATATTATATGCCCTCGAAGTCGTCCGTTCAACCATGTTTAGAATGGTTGACCTGCTTTTGTGGTGCAACATATGCTTAGTAAAAACAATGGTTGTTCGGGATTCAGACCATTAAATCAATAGTGGTTGGAATCCTGGGGTACTATGTATATATATATATACACCTGGATCTTCCCAGTGACCGAACTTGATCCCCTGGTTGGTTCGGTCACAGGCTTGTAAGTTCGGTCACAAACAGGGACTCCAAAGTTCGGTCACTGGGAAGGTCCTGGTACTGGGGGGTAGGCTTAAGTCGCATCGTGTTTCAAGTCGCATTACATGCAATTTGCAGGAACGGTTTGAAGAATTGATTGTTCACAGTGGGTCGCGCCATGGGGGTTTCACATCCCACCAGATCCCTGGCACCATACATCATCTTCCAAACCGCGTGGGCAGGATACAACTCCTGACCAGTAGTCCAATTGTGTATATTCCAAAGTGAAAACCATGTAAATTTACAGGCGTGGGCTCCAAACAAGTCAATCTCCAAACATAGGTTGTGAACGTGTGGCCGTTGTGATTGAGACAGCATGATGTGGCTTCACACGTGCTGATGTGACTTCACGCTTCCACGCGTGGCCATGCAGTGATGCTACTTCACACGCACTGATGTGACATAACCCAACCCGATATATATATATAATTATATATATACTTTTTAATCTATACCCACCTCAAAACATGCGTAGAAGATAGAAGATCCCCCCCGTCAGGACACTCTCAGGATGTTTTGGGGCTCTGAGCAGGTGCCTTCTGGGCACCGAACTCTGTCACCAGGCATCTTACTCTTCGCATGTTGGTGGATCGAACACACAGAGAACCATCAACTGAAAAATGACATGGCCTTACCAGCTTCCCACATGGAATGAATGTTCCAAACAGAAGCATCCATTTGATGATCGGGATGCATAGGTCCTGGATTGGAAGTCACGAGTCCAGTCCTCCAGGCCAAGCCCAAGCCAGCCGTTTTGTCCAATGAGAGGAATGCCGAGATCCTTGGCAGGCAGAACCCAAGGATGAATCCCCAATGATATTATAACAAGGAGACTAGCAAGCGTCACGTGCGCAAGTTGAGAGTACCCAAAGGAATGTCTTTCGGACTCAAAGGGAGGATTTGATGATTAGAGGCACCAGTAAGGATACCTCAAAGACTCCGGTGGTGGTTGTGGTGCTTGTGTTGTCCAAGGAAGTGGTCAGGTGGTGAAATGCTCAACCTTTGGCCACACATCAAAGACCCTGAAACCATGTTGCCCATTGACACGACCAAGTCCAGAACTCTTGACCTAAACCAATTTCGTGGTCAAACTGATCACGCTACCCAGATCACCGATGATCACCAACGCCTGGGAGTCAACCGGAGTGATTCATCACCTCGTGCAGAACCGGTGTCTTCGCTCTCCGGATCGGTCCTAGGAGTTCAGGGAAGCTAGCATCAACCCGTGTTTTCTTTTGAAAAATCGAGGCGCCTTCCTGGAAAATGGACCAACCCATCCCCCAACACCCAACACCGAACACCGAAGCTTTTCGAGCCTTTGGCAGCTCAATCCAGGGCGCCCCACGCCGTGACCACTCGCGCCACCGAGGATCTACATGGCTCGCTCCGAGCCTGGGAGCCGCGATGGCTGGATGAGGCGAGCGGAGCCCAGCTGTGGCCGGGTCGACGCCCCCAAACCCGTCGGGTTCGGTCCGCTGGGTTCGGTGGAGGCCTCGGCCTGGGTGGGTGCTCCCGCTCCGGTGTTTTCTTCCAACATGGGCGGCTGTTTGAGATCTTTGAGGGGGGTGGTTCCACATGTTCCACTACAGTCACTATAGAGATGATAGAGATGCATTCCTGGAAGTCGATGTGGCACTCAGGGATTGAGACGATCTGGATCCAAATGATTTAATAGAAAGGTTTTTTCTTTTCCACGTTGGCCTTCATGCAAATCACGCTAATCATGCTACCCCTACGTGGAAGGACTGAAAGTAAAAGAGCGAAAACGACACGAGATAGAGAGAGAGAGGGTGTTATTTCCTGCTCTAGCTGACTCTAGCTTGTGCAGAAATGTTTGTACACCTTACAGGAGGGAGTATACGATACATACTCCAATGATTCTACATAGGGTTGTATGTGTGTTCAGCTGCGCATTGGTCGCGCAGTCGCTTCGGCCATTTTTTCAGTGCACCCCTCAGTGCTTGACAGGCATCCCATCACCGGGAAAGTGGAACTTTGGGAAGATCACTGGCAGACGCCGAAGTGCATTCAACAGCTGCCTGGCAAACAGAACTTGAGCCCATCAAACAATTTTTGTGCCTAAATTACTGAGAAGGCATGGTTTCCCAGTTAGACACTCCACTGCTCCACTCATTTATGTTATACTCATACTCCTGCAAAGCTCTTGGCTCAAAGCTCCCTCACAAGTCTTGGTTTATATATATATACTGATTTTTTGGGGAATTGCCCCTAGAGCTCCGAGGGGTGTATAAAGACACTTAAAGACCCAAACAGCAGGGAAAAGAGATGGCAGCTGTTCTAGGTTGGTCTATATATATATATATACACATATATATATATATATTTGTGTGTATTTGAATGCTCTAATACGTTGCTCTCTTTATTCAAATATTCATGCATCAAATGGGAGCCTCATACCAGGACCTTCTCAGTGGCCTGAGATCCCAGAGTGAGGTCGGTCTTGCAAAGGTCACATGTCTCACTATAGACTCATCTGTAGATGACCTTTTTTTGGTGAGTCTTATGGAATCTTACCAATAGACATCAGATAGGTGACCTCAGACCAAGCTGAGGTATTACCAGCCAGGGACCATCCAGCTCCGTTGCCCTGGGGAGCCACCACGTTGGATGTACCTGAGAATGCAGTGGGCGGTGAAAAACCGAAGGAGCGGAACAAGTTGTAGGGAGTTTGCCATGGTGGAGGGAGCTGGTGACACTGTGACTCACTTGGCACAGTCAAGTGTCAGGGTCCTTTTGCTGGTGGGTTTTGGTATCTTTTGGTGGATTTATCTCCGGTGCACAGCGCCATCGACGCGGCGATCCACCGCAGGGACCCTCGCGGTCCACCGCCGCACCGGCTTCGGGTTCATCGCGGGAAGCAGAACGGGCGTGCGCGGCGAACCGAAGCAGAACGGGCTCGGACGTGAGAAGCGTGTCGAACCGAAGCGTGACGTGAGTGTTCGGCCCAGGTATGCGGATGGTGACTTTTGATCGGCTGCGCAGGATTAACGACCACACCAGCTCAACATCTTGCGCCAGCAGATGTTCACGTGTTCTTTTTTCAACTTGTCATGTTTTCCTCGATGGGTTCAATGGCGCGCGCTCTTGAATGACTTGAAGAGCAAGGATCACCGTGCTCATATTGCAATTGCTTGCCATGTGTTGTTTTTGGATTTCTGTGACATGTTCAATGGTTGCCCATCTGCGTGTATAGACTGTTGATCACTAAAACCTCCCATATGGAGATGTAAAGCCATTCTGGTGGGGGCATCGTCAATTAGCCAACAGTCTACATTACTGAGACCACTGGCCAGTGCTTTTAACACAGCCACCTTGATTCCACATAGTGTCTCATTCGTGCACAGTTCGAACGTGGCGAAATGTTTGGTTGAGGCACTTGGACATGAAGAGCACATGAAATGTGTCAAGCTTGGTTTGCACTAGCTGGCGATCTATTTCAAGCAGGGTTTGGATTGATTTTGACTGCCAATGCAGCATTTCAGCAAATCTGGTTCAATTCAAGATGTTGTTTGCATGGCAGCACGTCCACCGTGAATTCTCGAGCACAGCCGATGCTAGTACGGGCACATGCGCACAAGTACATATTTCGATTGCACACTGGCCTGGCAAACGTCAGGTGCAAGTTTAGGAGACTGGAGCACGCCAAGAATTGCCGAAGTGTTCTTTTCTGCGTTCGCAGGTCTTTTGGCACGCGAGCACGGCTCTTCCATCAGCTCGTGTAAGATTTGCTTGAGTCGTGGCACCCCCCAAGACGTAGCGAATTCATGCCAAATCCTACCTTTTCAGGATTGGTGGCGGGTGGTAGCTCAAGACCCACTCTAGAACCTTTAGAACTGAAGGCATCCTTCAGTCCATATTCGTCACTTTCCGTGGATGACTGAGGATGCAGCACAGATGTCCAGAAATGCATCATGTATGGGCAGGGTTTGTCCCATTACCTGCAACAAACAACCAAGCATCATCATCCGCTGGGGTGTGGTCATGGGAGATATCCCCAAGCATCATGTTTGGAAGAAAGTAGATCCACTGTGTGTGGTGGTGCTTCAATCTTTTGCTCATGAAATCGTAGACTCCAGTCGTGACAGCGCTCGAGCACTTGTTTCACCGCCACTGGGCTGAGAGAAATGCCAAAAGTGATCCTGGCTGGGAAGCAGTGGCGGCTGTTGCAGGTGGAAACTCAGCACTGCGCGCCCAAAGGCAGACCCTTCCATCAAAAAAACATATACATATATATATATATATGTGTGTATATACAGTTATATATTCCATATTTGAATAACATTCTTTGAACAGCATGTTCGGGGACGTCGTTGCACCCGCAAACCCTCCCTAGAGGACAGCATGATCATTTGCATTGAATTCGATGTCGTTCTTGTTCGAGGCAGTTTGACCTATGCTGGGATTCGACCCCAGCTTCTAGCACATCCCATAAAATTGCACAAACCCCGAACCCCGGAACGATGGTGCTTCAGTCAACAAATCCGCGTAGCTCACCTTGTGCAAGGTAGGCCAAATGACTGGATTGGTTCCTCACCGCCCTCGCATGTTTGAAGCCAAAAGATTCAGAGTGAAGGGATGCTGGATGTTCCAAGGTCACAAAGCCCTTCTGGAGATGCTGTCCAATGCCGTCCACGAGCTCAGAGAACGGAGTTTCCCGAAGCAGGGTTAACATATGGTAACATATCATATGTTCTGAGTATATAAACATATCATAACATAAACATATCATATTATTACATCTATATCATAACATATCATATACATATATATATATATATCACCTTATGTAATATGTAATTTGCATAATATGTGTTTGTTGATGATTATTTTTCTTGTGGGCGACTGCCCCACTGCCACAGTCGGCGACGGTCGGGAAAGAATTACCACTATCCTAGACAGAGACCAAACAATCAACAAGTATCATCCACAGGGCCCTGGTAATGAGATATACCCAATATGTAATTCTATGGCTCGTTTTCAGCTGCTATTGAGGTCATTGCTTCTAGGAGGCCATCGCTTTTAGGTTGGAGGCCACCGCTAGTAGGTTGGAGACCATCGCTCTTGGGTTGGAGGTCATCGTTAGTAGGTTGGAGGCCATCGCTACTAGGTTGGAGTACAGTCTCTTTTTGTTCCGTACCACCGGTCTACATGCTGCCAGCTGCTTTGGTTGATGCTTCTTCATCATTTTCGTCCGAGTTGACCAAGTTGCCGTTCTGACCCTATTTTCACTGCAGCCTTGACGCTAGGGCCAGAAGAATTCATTTTGACTAAAGCAAGCAACACAAACAAATACGTGCTGAAAATATCTGAAAATCGTATTGCGGAATTCATATTATTCAACTTACATATTTCACTACACCGGGGTAAAAATGGATGGCGCAACTCCGGGCAGAAAGTAGCGAGGCTATACATGGCTCAATTCATGTGTGTGTAACCGGTTTTCTGCCAATAGACGGCTCAACACACCTTAAGGATAAAAGATCTTAAAGAAACAAAGGTCATGTTGCGCCATGTACTGGAGAAAATTTGGGTAGATTTGCCAACTGTCTCAATGGCCAGTAGATGGCACAATAGCAAATTCCGAGCCATGCATTTTCAAGTCGGAGTATATTCCAACAACATTCACATACATAACTATATATATATATGATATATATGTGTGTGTGCGTGTGTGTCTTCCAAATGAAGATATTTTCCCATTGTCTACCGTCTCCCTGGAATATTGTCAGCACAACTGAGCATGTTCTGTCAAAGTGGGATGCACATTGCATTTTTGGGGTCATATGGGGTACGTCACAGGGCCTCACCAGTGCAAACATCTCATGGAAGGTTCAAGGTTGGAGATTATCCATACTGCGCATGAACATCTTACAAGACGCTCAAAACGTCAACCATCATCCGCAAGACTTTCTGGCAATGTTCCCTTTATGCGAGTCGGGGCTCATGTCTTTTCCAGCCATGCGATGACTGCAGTTCTGGTCTAGGGTCTTAATGACCACATGGGCTGTGGAGGAAAGATGGCCTTCCGGAATCCGCTTTGCGCGCCTTTGATGTCCGTTTACAACGGGAAATGTAGACTGTTGATCCGTATAGAACCTCCTCAACTCAATTCTAAAGCCTCTTCATATGGGAGGTTTTGTTAATCAAGAGTCTAGCTACTACCAATGTCCAGCTTGCGCTTGACTTAACCCCGGACAAACGCCCGGAATCTGTGATGACTGCCAGGCGCTGAGCAGCGATTTAGCGCAGTTTTCCTCACAGGAGCCAGACGGACTCTGTAAGTGACCTGGGCAACCTCTCCAGGAAAAGTGGATCACTGGAAAATGGGTTGAACTCCAGAACAAGAACAGGTGGGAGAGTTCGGGGAAACCATTTGGGGAAACTCAGCAGGTCAGCAGAAAAGAAAAAGCCATCCTTCTCCAGAAGTTTGAAGGTACGTATGTGTAAATTGAGGCGACATACGACATATGTGGGATGCACTTGCGCGATCAGAACCTTCTTGAAGATCTGAGAGGAGTTGGATATTTTTAACAATTAATCCACCCAACGTTCAGATACATCTAGACCAAGATTGCCAGTGGAATTGGCCTCTCAAGAGTGTGTGTCCCATGCCCTGGCAATCCTTCAAGTGCCCATTGAGTTTCGCTCACCTAATAGAACCCGCCTTGGGACCCCTGGAAGATCTTTTTCTTCCTCATGTTTCCTCCAATAGTTGTTCTATTCATGAGTTGCACTCCGTCACGGGACCGTTGCCACGGAAGTCTAGACAAGTTCCCCCCCAAAAAAAAGACCATGGTGCCATTTTATATGAACGTCAGTTCGGTGATCCATAGCGGTGATGCTGTGCTTCATGCCAGCCTTGGCGCCCTCGCAGGAGCTGGCAAACACCTTGTGATCTTCTACATCCTTGAAGCTTGGCAGTGAGGCCACTTTGGAAAAGAATCGTTGCAGCAGAAGACACCTTTTGGTTGGTGGGCTTTCTTTTCGGAAGACACCTTCCCCACCTATTGAAGCCGAGGATTGCCCGTGCTTCTTGGAGAAATCTCCTTGGCCGCACCGTTCGAGCCAGGCGATGGTGGACGCCATGGCGCGTCACGTGATGGCCGAGGTGATTCCAGAGGCCGAACCGCAGCATTTTTTTTGGTGGAAGTCACCAGCGACCTGGAGCAACCTACTAGCGATGGCCTCGAACCTAGGGACATCGGAATGGCCAAATGAACTCCAAAGGAGCTAGGAGCAAGGACGCTACTAGGTGGAGGCCGTCGCTAGTAGGTTGAAGGCCATCGCTAGTAGGTTGGAG